AAACAAACCAATCAAACAACGACACGTGGCGTTGTCAAAACAGTGTTAAATAATGCGTTGTTGGAATATCGGGGTCCTATAATTTATTGCACTTTTTTTCGTGGTTAAAAGATGTTGTGTAGTAGAAAATGATGTTATCGATTCTAATTATTACTCGAAGAAAAATAGGTTGAAGTTCCACGTGGTGCAAACGTGTAATTTTGTTGGATATGTGGGGTCCACGTACTTAACTCTAATAGTATTGAAACATAGGACGCAAAATTTATAGAAAGATGGAGTAAAAGCAAGATTGGCATAGTTGAAAAGGTTGGTGAAAGAGCGTTAAGAAAGCGCGTTAAGGGTGAGACCAATTCAAAATTTTGCGAGCTTTTGACTAGGTATGTTTCAGAACATGATTACGTAAACATACACATGTTTGCTTTCTTGTACTTTAAGTATACATATACTTTATCAAAAGCTAAGGCGGTGGGAATATCAATATGTAATATGAACAAGAAAATCATAAATTTATGGATTCACTCTATAAGGTTTGATGGGTCGAATAAGGTCAAATTAATCCAACCAATTTTGAATCATCATTTTCACAATTTAAACATTAATCTCATCTCAAAGCATAATCAAACATAAACAATTACTTTAATACCATTTATTGTTCATATAATATTTGAAAATCTCATTAATGTAGTTTCATTTTATTTGGCAATTTTATATCTAAAAAGAGGTTCCGTTTTTCGTTAATTGTATATATCATTAGAAAAAAATTAAATAATTAATAATTTATAATTCTGCCATTAAAATATTCAAGCTTTTAAAGTAAACCAACTAACACCTAATTAGTGAAACGCATATATATTTTTAATTAAAAGCAAGAGTAAATTATATAATTTTAAATATTATATATAAAATGCCCCTAAACTTATTACATATACTCAAAGATTTGTCGATACACGGAAGAATGCTTTGGTTTAATCTCTTATATGCTTTACGCTTTTATGTAAAATTATGACAGAAGAAGCAACTACATATTGACTGAAAATTTGACATCAATTTTAAATTGAAGAATTGAGACGACAATTGAAGGATAAAGTTTTAACAAGCAGAAAAACTTTTATAATGTGCGAATATTTGGTAAAAATGTAAAATACGTGGATATTAAAGAGAAAGATACGACACTTATATTTAACTTAGGTTTATAAATAATTTTATCAAACAAACATTAAGATATATATATACAAGATAGATTTTTATTCCATTTTCTATATGTTTCGGTGTACATTTTCCTGCGTGTCTTTATTGCTCTTGGCTGTCTGGGTTGCTTGCTGGTTGTCCGGGACGCGTGCTTTTCTCCAATTGTTGTTGTTCATACTCGCCAAAGGAGGGGGAGGTACCTGCAAAGATACTCCGACGCTCAAGTCAGATGTGAGTTATGGAGCTGAAGCTCTCAAGAAAATGATTATGATACTGCTCTGAAATATTATTCAGGATCTCTAGAGCATAAAGAGAACGTACCTGGACTTTGGTCCTGTCACTGTATTTATAAGCAAAATAAAAATATCCACCTTACCTAAAAATGTGGTTAGTGGCTTTGATAAATATCTTAACTGTCTAAAATATCTAAGATATTTATGTTATTACATAAATATCCTTACTACATAACACTGTACATGGTAGATATATCTTAGGCAACACACAACAGTTTTGGTTTATTTTTCCAGATATATATGCTGTATAATTTAGATTGCTTATTTACTTTTAATTGCGTTTTTCAGATAGATAATAATTTAGACAACGACTTAATGTTTAGTAATTATATTATGTTTGATAACAAATAACATGAAGCACCAGTGGTCTAGTGGTAGAATAGTACCCTGCCACGGTACAGACCCGGGTTCGATTCCCGGCTGGTGCATTGTTCTGAGAGCTGTGATGATAAAAGCATATGATTGATGGGTCAATCACTAATTCGTCTCATAAAAGTAGATGAAATACATGCAGTTCTGAGCTCTCTTTTTTTTATGGGTAAGCTACTAAAACTGTATTGCAAGGTTGTGATTTTCTATTCCAATTATTAAATTATAATCCTGTATTTTTGTTTATTAAATTCAAACTACATATATATATATTGACCATTTTTAAAAATGTTTTTTATCTGAATTCATAATAACGATTTTGGAAAAACCTTCTACATGAAATTGATATGCTGGGTAAAGTAAAATAAGATAGAAAATGAGGTTAAATAATATTACATATACCTTAGTTTGTATGCTCTCATGCACTTCTCATATGTTGATATTTTCTTTTGATTTTTTATATTCTCTATTACGGGTAATGTAAAGACGTGAAAAATAGAGTGTTATAAAGGAGATAGGTGTATTAAAATAATGAGACAGATTATTTTAATTTAAAATAATCTTATAAAATAAATAAAATTTTATAAACACTTCTCATTATTCTAAGAACACTTCATCTCTCTAGAACTCAATTCCTCAGAGTTCTCTGACTTCTCTCTACAATCTCTCTCTGCTGAGTTATCTGTTCGACGATCAGGAGGTGCCTAGGCGATCCTGACGTTGAGGACTTTGTTTTGGACCGATCAATTTCGTGTTCTTCAGCTAGTAAGTGGTTTCCACTGTTATACGTTTTCTGTGGACTGTGAACATGAACTGTTTCCGCTTTGCATGTGGTTAACAGTTCTTCCTTCCATTTCCTAGCTCAATTTAGGTTCTAAGTGTTGTTCTCTATCACCAATTGGTGAGTTGTAGGTTTATGTTGAATTCCCTTGCGGTGCAAGGTACAGTTGAGGTATCTGTGAGTTGAATTGTCTGTCCCTAAGGTAAGGGGAGCTAGAAACTTTATCTCAATTGATTATATGATATGCGTGTATGATAAATTCTGAATTAGTATGTTGTTTTGTGTCACTAGTTGTATCCTAAGTAATTAAATAGTATGTACTGGAATGTGGAATGTATGAAACTGTAATGTGTTGTTGAGGAACTGTTTTGGATGAATTCTAAATGTTGTAATTGAGTATGTTGGAGGTAGTTGATGTGAGCAATCTGTTGTGATAGTGATGAATTATGAAGTGAAGTAAATTGTGCTTGTTTAAAGTCAATTTATAGGAAGTGAGGTAGTGAATTTGAGTATTAGAGGTCAAGTGTTGTTAGAGGATGCTTGGGTAGTTTAGACAGGTTATTTGTGACTTGTTTGAATCAACAAACTAGTTAAAATCAGGTTCAAAGTGGTCAATTAGGATTTAAGTATCTAAGTTGATGAAATTGAGGTTTTAGAGTGGGATTTGATGCATAAATACTTTAGATGGAGGTTAGGAAGGTCTAGAATCACTTAGTCAAGTCTAAGTAACTATATACAACTGATAACGGTAATTCTTACCATTATTTAAGCATAATTTTAACAACAAAATGACCTCCTTTCTAGCTTATAACTTGCTTAATCCTCTAATTTATCTTAGTTTTATGAATAATTGTGTTTTGGGCTACTTTGATGTAATTTAATCTATAATCCCCTATTTTGTAGCTAATAATGTGCTTGGAAGGGTCTCCAATAATGTCTAAAGTTGAACCAACCACTAGAAGCAAGCAGATCTGCGGAAAAAGTGAAAATGATGCAGTGCTGAAAAGTCAGGCCCGGGCCCCCCTGGGTCAGGGGCGCCCAGCGCCACCTGCACAGAAGCCAGTTTCTGCGTGCTGGTCGCGCCCGGGCGTGACAAAGAGGGCCCCGAGCGCGACTTTTCCAGAGAGGTTCACGCCCGAGCGTGACAGAGAGGGCGCCCGGGCGCGACTTTTGCTGATGTGTCAGATTGAGTTTATTTAACCCTAAAACGCGAAGGGGTTGGGATCTTTGGCTGCCCAAACACGATTTCTCTCATTTGGAGCTCTTGGAGGCGATCTAGGAGCTGTGGGAACAGTCCTTCTTCACCCTTGGGTCTTCTTCCTTCTTCCATTTCCACCATTGTTGTAAGCTTGAGCTCTCCATTCATGGAGAGTTAGTTTCATTATTGTTGGGGGATTGATGTAGCCACTGAAATCTTATGTAAACTACTATGTTTTGAATGAATATATGCCTCTTTCATTGATTGTTAGTGTTTAATTCCTTTTCTTAATGCTTGTTGCGAAGTTGCTACCCATTACATGATTTTAGGGTTTGCTTGATATTGGGAAATGTTGAGTAAATCTGGACTTGGATTAAACACCTAAAGGAAATAGTATCTAGGGATAGAACTAGGACCTTTGGTTGTCTTAGATCTCAATTCTTAATGCGGAAATAATTGTTAGGTCTTCCAAGGGATTGGAGCCTAATAAGGAAGTCTAGGCTCTCTCTACCAAGGGATTGGGTTTGAGTAATTTAGTAGATTGACATTGGCATATTAATGAAGAGGAAGTGATTTTCTATACATAAGAGTGAAGTAGGTGAAATCATACCCCCAACAATATCATTCCATATCATTTCTAATCTTTCCATTTCCAAGTGTTTGAGTATCTAAGATCACTTTTATCA